CCCGCCACGCCCCGGCATCACTCCCCCATGGAGTCTCTGTTCTTGGGGCCCCCCACCCCCCACCATTTTTCGCCCAAAACCGACCGATGCCCCCCACCACGCCCCGGCATCCCCACCCCATGGAGCCTCTGTTCTTAGGGCCATCCACCCCACCATTTTTCGCCAAAACCGACCGATACCCCCCACCACGCCCCGGCATCCCAACCCCATGGAGCCTCTGTTCTTGGGGTCCCCCACCCCACCATTTGTCGCCCAAAACCGACCGATACCCCCCCACCACGCCCCGGCATCCCCACCCCATGGAGCCTCTGTTCTTGTGGCCCCCCACCCCACCATTTGTCGCCCACAACCAACCGATACCCCCCACCACGCCCCCACCACGCCCCCACGACGCCCCGACACCCCTACCCCATGGAGACTCAGTTCCTGGGACCGCGCAGGGCACCCGCAACGAGCGACATTCTGCAACGCCCCGCCGCGTCATCGCTACTGCGACCTTCCTTTCTTTGTCACCTATTCCCAACTCCGATCGGCGACCTCCTTCCTCTTACGCTCTTCGTGTTCGAAGCACTGGTTGCAGCGTTGCTTCCCATCTGATGTTTTCGTTGTCCGCTTGGCCAACCAGCGGCAGAAATCCACTTTCGGGAACACGTCCTTGCAGCCTATGCATTTCCAACATCCGCGCTGCACCCTCGCCTCCTCGACGCAACGCATGCACTTGCGGTCCTGATCAGCCACGTTGGCCCACATGCGACCCGAAAAGAACTCGCGCCGCTGACGTTTCCCGCACCTCGCGCACGTCTTCAAATACTTCCTTGATTGCGCGTCCCGCTCTGCAGCCGCGGCGTCCACGCACGTGGTACAAACTACCGACGCTCTGTCCGCGTGGTCCAGAGTGTACCTGGAAAACTCTGCCTTCGTCTTCGACCCACCGCACTTAGAGCATACTGCCCGTTTTTCTGCCTCCGCCTGCGCCTTCTCCTCCTTTCTCTGCGACGCCTTACGCGACTTGCATGTCGGTTCGTCCATGCACTGCTCCGCTCTAGAAAATTCGACACGCATCTGCTCCTGGCCGCAGCGTGAACACTTCAAGTGCCGCTTGGGCTCCTCGCACTCGAGGCACATTCCTCCTTTACATCGGGCGTTCCCTGCCTTCTCCCATTGCAACTCCACGAACGCATCCTCGTACTTCCGCACCTCGCATACGTAACACTTCCGCCTCTCGGGGCAGTCCACGCAGCGCCGCGTGGTCAACTTCGACGGGTGGTGCTGCGACGCGTGGAACGCCTCCTGGCTCTTCCATAGGCCACACTCCATGCATTGCCATGGCGTGCCGGACCTCTTCTTCTCTTCCAGACACACGCTGCACACGCGGAGCCCATTTGCGCGGCTCCACTGCCCGACCGTCGGGTACATGTTCTTGTACTTCGTGCACCCGCAGACCGCGCACCTGCCAGACGGCATGAACTCCCGCTCTATCGCCTCCCAGTCCAATTCTTCTCCGCGCAACGTGCGCAGCAGTAAGTCCGGGCCCTTCCGTTCGTCCTTCTTCTGATACGGCGCAATATCGAAAAGGGCGAAAGATCAGCATGTCCTCGCGGCGCTGCACCCGCGTCAGTGCCACGTAGCTCGACAGAGGTGACGTGCCCCCGCCGATGCTCAGGTCCACTATGACACCTTGCTTGAACGTCTGCCCCTGCGCCGCATGGGCCGTCACTCCGAAGGCCGGAGCCAGCGGGAACTGCCGTCTTTTGACCTTCAGTCGCGGATGCGGACGGCCCTTGTCCACGAACCAATCCTTCTTCTGCGGAATCACGGGGTACAAGCCGGGCGTCTTCAATCCCTCGATCGTCCACTGGCATGGCTTCCTGCCGCCGTTCCCGCCATCGCCTTCGTCGAACAACACGAAAATCACTTTTGGAGTTTTCTTCAATATGGTCTCCCCGCCGCGCGTGACTCGATCATCGACGCCGTCCCCGTCGCATGCCCAGGATTGCACCCGGCCCACGCGACCGCGCAGCAGGTTTTTATCCTCGCTTCGATCGATATGATCGGTCAGAGCGACGGGCATGCCTTCAGCGATGGGCAAGAAGCCGTACAAGTCCCCGCTCTCCTTGTCGTGGCGTTGAAGCCATGCCATCTTCTGCTGCGGCAGATCCGGCCGCTCCCGCAGCGCCTCTGGCGTTGGCGTATCTCGCGCAGGGACGTACACCATCGGCTTCCTGTGTTTGCGTGCGTACTGGGACGCACGGAGCTTGTTCGCTTCGTACTTCACGTCGTTGTTTGGGAACACACCCGGCGCCTCGAGGAACTTGTCTGACTGCAGACGCGGGTCGTCGGGTCCATCCACCACGAGCTTGCGGCGTGCGCGTTCCGCTCTGCACACCTTGCACTCCTGCTCGCGGATCTCTTTCGGCGTCACGGGGCGTTTCCGTCGTTGCCCCGCGCTTGACGACGCTGCGTCCCTTCCGCCACTGCACAATTCCCGACACGCCCGATTCCCGCAGCATACGTCCCCCCCCAACCAGCTCCCAGGAACGGTCGTATGCCGGCCGTGCAAGAATGCGTGCGCATCCGCCGACAGCGACCCTCTTCGGAATTCCTCCTGCACCTCCTTCAACCAGGCGTCGTCGCATCGCTCGCACTCTTCCAGCTCTGTCACGCCCTGAATCCCACACTCGGCCCCGCCCCACAGTAGCGATTGCCCGTGCAACACGGGTGGCAGCGAAGTGTACTTGCGCGCACCCGAAATCCGCTCCGTGGGGACGTCGGCGAGGAAGCCTCCGTGAGGGGGGGCCAGCTGCCAGAAATCTCCACTCAGCACGACGTTCAGGCCGCCGAACGGACGTGGAACGCCATCGTCGCCGAGTTTCGTCGTGCCCACGTCCCGAATGACCCCGCGAAGTTTCGCGTCCACTTCTGCTAGCAGTCTAGCGCTCACCATGCTTATCTCATCGATGAAGAGCCACCTCCACTGGAGCAGTCGCTTCGCAGTCTCGTACTGCAACTTCACGTCCTCCCCCCCTTTCTCTTCCCCCCGCTTGATGGCCGGAATGCCACGCGCATGGTGGATGGTGTCGCCTCCCAGCAGCTGAGCCATGACGGCCTGCAAGGCGGTTATCTGGAAGTGCACTCCGATTGACCATTTCATCACCTTCTCGAACAGCTCATGACGAATAATGCGAAGCACGTGCGACTTGCCGGTCCCAGGGCCCCCGTGCATGCACCACTGCAGCGGCTCACCCATGCTGCCGTCCTCACTTCCCTCGCCGTCTATCTCGCGCATTACTCGATTCGCCACCTGCATCACCATCTCGAACTGCTTCGCATTCACAACACGCCGCCCCGTCTGCTTGTCCACCCGGACCTCTAGGTCCCTGAGCCACGCGGCAACGTCCTCCGATGTCGCGGCCTGGCCAGCGACGATAACTGCGCCGTCAGCCTCCGCCAGTCGGTCCGCCATGGAATGCTCCTTGTTCCGAGATTTCCGCGCCTCTCTGAGTACCTGCTCAACGTCGCAGGGCTCCTCTGCGGGCCATGCACCCGGAATCTCGCTCAACGGCGTTTCGCCATCGCGGAGCCCCCACACCTGTTGCGCGACGCTCATGCCCTCTTTCGAATTTTCGTAGTGGGAGACGCCTCCTGCCCCCTGCCCGGGGTCTGCGTCGTCCTCCTCGCTGCTGCTGTCTCCGTCGCCGTCCTTGCGCCTCTTCCCGCCCACGCGGGATTTCAGCGCCTCGTCGAGCTGATCGAAGCCCACGTCCAACTCCTCGTCGCTCACGTCTTCGTCGGTCCCATCCCCCGCTCCTTCAGTGTCTCGTGGCCGGACGCGGTACACACTCAAGAAGTTGCCCACGTACCGCGCGGCTTCCTGTGTCTGCACCCCGCCGTCCAGCCACGACACCATGGCCGCGTCCCACGTCGGCGCGTCGCCGCGCAGGCCCCCTGCGAACACGACGTGCGCGTCGGCCGCGTCGGGCCTCAACGTCCACGGGTGGAAGTACGTCATGACAATGCGCGCAGATCGCTCCGCTTCTCCAGGACGTCCGCGTGGCGCGGGCGCTCCGAAAAAGGTTGGTGCCTTGGGTCTGTTGTTCCGCTTGAGCACCCACGTGTGACGAAGGTGGGCGCGCCCGTCTGTCTCTGGATAAGGCACCCAGTCGACGCCTCCTCCTTCCTTCACCATGTAGTCCTCCACAGGTTCCAGGTCCTGCTCCCATCTCGGGTTCTTACAATTCTGGCGCACCTTGTCCATGCCCTTCTGCGTCAAAACAGCGTGATGCCGGGGATGGTCCGCATCCCCGACTCTCGTGGTGAACGACACCAACACCGGCGTCCAGAACGTCGCGAACTCGTACGGCGACAAGTGCCACAGGTCGGGCACGTTCGGCCGCAGCCCATACAACATGGCCACGTCTCGGAAGGTCACCTTTCTGCGTCTCCTCTGCCGCATGTCCACTTCAGCAAACTGCGCTTTGCGCCCGCCTGGCGTGCGGTCTGCCAGGCGCTCGACCAAGTCCACGTACTCGCGTCCATAAAAGGCTGTGGTCTGGCACGACTTCAATGATTCCGCCGCAGTGACGTCGTCCTCCCTCGCGAACGCCCTCAGGTTCGCACACTCAACTTGCCCCCGCACGATGCCCTTGCCATACGCGTCGCTCATGATTCGGTTCGCTACTCTCTTCCCGATCCGATTCGAATTCTCGCCCTGCAGCTGCCTGTTAAGTTTCACTATTCCCTTGCAGCACTCCTTCACTTCGTGAAAAGCCATGGGTTGGCGCTTCGTGCAGTAGTCGCAGGCGTACCCTGCTTGTGCGTCCTGTGCCATCTGCGCGACCTTGATGATCGCTGCGTCGTTGAGCTTCTTATCGCACGCTTTCCCGCACGTGCAACAAACATCTGTGATGGGGAACCGATGCGGCAACTGCACGTCCGAATTGAAACGTTGCGCGGACACCGAACAACACGGACAGGGACTGAACGGCGACAAACACCGTCAAAGATGCCGGAGGGAACAACTGAAAGAGGGAGGGGGCCGAGGGGGAAGGGATGAGGAAAAGAGACTTAGAAGCTTGAACCGGACGGTCAACCCTTCTCCCTCCACCCTCCTCCCTCCTCCCTCCTCCTCCTGATCCTCCCTCCTGCCTCCTCCCTGCTGCCTCCTCCTCGCAAGATGCCGAAAGGGGTCCGCCCCAGGCAACGGGCCTACACCACCTCGGACATCCCAGAACACCTGACCTCCGTTTGCTTGAGGACGCCGCTGCAATCAATTTTGTCGGACCTCCGTGGGAGACGACTCCGCCGACCCATTGTGAGATCCCAGACGTGTGACATCCGTCCCTCCACTGGGCCCACGAGCACACGAGAAGGCCCAGGGATAGCCCCCAAGACCGCCACATAAGCCCCCAAGACAACCGAAGAAAACTCCAAGACGAAAATAAAACTGTTCCGCCTTCATGAAGGGGTTACCCGACTGCACCCTTGGATGAATCCCAAGGACGGACAAGCACAACGCGAAATCCACGCGCACTAAGAAAATTAACCTCCCCGATGTTCCCTGGGGTCGGCGGCAGAGGCGGCAGCCTTTAGATATGTGCTTCACCTGATCCTTACTTCCGCAAAGCGACGTCAACATCTGACACCGCCAAGCTTCTGCACGTTTGCTATGCACTTTGAGCAGAAACTCGTACATCGATGGGTCAAGTACCTGCTGGATTTGTTGAAGGAACAAGCCCACGTCGGCGCCCTTGTTCTCGAGGGAGAAATTCATGATCAATCGCGCCTGGTACTCGCCCCCCATGTTCCACCTGTGCACCAGCAAGCGGGCGTCTTCAGCGATGCTGGAATTGTTGCTGCCTGAGATCATTCCGATGTATACGTCCACGTTCCGTGTCAGCCGAGCCCCTTGTCGAGAAGTGCAGGTGGCCCCTTCTCGCACATTGGTGACGCACTCCCGAAGGTGCGGCCACACAGACGGGTTCGCCATCTGCACGAACACCGCAACAGCTGACTTCGGAGGCCCTCCCAACACACTAGCAGGCGGCGTCGAGGAAAATGCGCGCAGTGGCATTCGATACAACAAAGCTAGCAGCGCATTCGCAAGTGTCGATGCGCAGACGCAACAAAGCAGAGCCCTACTCTTGTGCGAGACCAGGTGCGGGCAGCCTGGCAGGAGCATGAGGCACGCGCGGCAACCCTCCTCTTGAAGCAACTTTGGGCAGCTAGGAGCCTGTCAGGGACACATGCCAACTTGAGCCAAAATGGCCTTGAGCCAAAATGGCTACGGACCTGGATAGCAGGAAGAACGGACAGATATACAGAAAATAAGTGCATCCTGAAGAAGGGCCCTGCGCGCTGCGGTCACTGGGACCACGGCGGTAAGGCCCTCGCCCTGGATGCTCTCAAGCAGCTTTGGTCGGGCGGCCGCGGGACAAGTAGCAGGAAGCGTGGCAGTGGTCTACCGCAGGGCAGATCCCAGCTGCCATGCGAGTCGGGCCCACTGAAACCGTTCCCCGCGGCTCACTCTGCTCTGCAGGCTAATCGGGAAGCCAGCCGTGCCGTCGAGGGCGAGCATGCCGCAGAGCGACAGGCCGATGCGGGCGCAGCCCTGCCATGGCAGCCAGGCGGCAGCCTCCCGGAGCTGTCGCAATGCTGTTGGGGCCAAGAACTTGCCTGGCGGGACTCTGCGCTCATTGAACCCAGCTTCGCGAGGGAGTGACTGGGATGCGGCGAACGTGAACTCGTGCGACCCCTGCTGCAGGGCTGATCGCCGCAGCCTATCTGGCCCAGTGTGGACTGCGGGGCGGGCGGGAGGTTGGGAACCGAGGCGGCTCTTGTAGCGGTCGCCCAGTCCGCGCGCGTTGGTCAGCGAACTTCATCACAGCGTGGGCAGCGCGCCAGCCTCTGCAACCTGCTTCAAGCCCCGTGGCCCGCGCGAGGCTGGTGTCCGCCGCATTTTGCGCGGTGCTCTCTGCATGAAAGCAGCGGCGAGGCGCTGGAGTGCGGCACCAACCTGTGGCACTGGCTTGGGGGCCAAAAGGCGGCCTTCGTATCCCAGGGGGGGGGGGCTGCGGCCATTGCTTTAAAGATGTATTCAAAATGTGTAGACCATATTTGAACACATATTTGAAACATCTTTCAGACATCTGGAAATTATGTGGCAACATGCTTCCTCTCAAACTGATCGTCCTCCACACAGCAGGTGCAAGTGCCGACAGTGCAGGCTGCTACTGGCGAGTGCTGTGCAGGTGGCTCACGCAGTGTGGGCCGCTCGGCTCGCGTGCACCTTCGGGATGGTCACGTGGCACTTGCCGTCGCTCGAACGTCCAGTTCCCGTGCATGCTTCGGTATCGTGCGTGTTTTTTGTTGCTCGATGGTCCAGGATGGTCCTCGATGGTTCTCGTCGAGAACAAATGCACACGTCCTAGCGATGCCAAGGGCATGGGACAGCGCTCCGCCCATGACTTTCAACAAATCACTGGAGAGAGCGCCGTGTGCTGCGCAACAGCGAGGCGCATTTGCTTGGCATTGGGGGAAAGGGTCCTGAGGGAAACAAGTCCTAGACTCCCAATGCTTTGCCTAAGAACTCTGACTCGTTCGTTGACAGGCTGGCCGAAGCTCGCGGCTTCACAAGAACGCCGCCATTTTGATGGCTGTCCGGAGCAGGAGAGCCAGAACTGGATCGAACGCTGAACCTCCTGGAGGATGGGACGTGGGGCTGAAGCGAGCCCAAGAAGTCTCTCAAACTTCGAAGTGGGATTGCGTTGGCGAAGCGGAACCTGGGAAGAGTACTGCGAATGCTCAGGGGCACAATCTGTGACGGAGGGCTGCGCCCAAGAAGTGCGGCCGCGGCATTGGGAATACTTCTGCTCAGTCGGGCGAAATTCGGAAGGCCGCGCCTGGCGGCTGTCGCCCCTCCAACGCCCGCCTGTGCGGACATTGCATTGCACTGTGGTGTGGCTGGTGGACTGGCCACTGGCGTGCGTAAGGCATCTCCCCCTGGAAGGACGCTTCACGGAATCGTGAACGCACTTCAACTGTCGACAGGGCCAAGACGTCCCCGCAGGAGGACGCAACTACCCCCAGTGGGGCGTCGTCAAGGCCACGGCTCGGGCCGCAACGTTCGCCACGACCTGGCCCCCCTGGGCGTCCCGAGGTGGACCCCGAGAGCCCCTCCGGCGAGCGCTGGCCGTTTTTCTGTTCCACGGCGCCCGCCACGCGCGCGCCCGTGCCGCGCGCTTGGCGATCCGACACAAGAGCACCGCAGAGTCTGCCGCCCTCGTCGCCGCCTTCAGCCTGGTCGGCGTCACCATCCACCGACTTGAACGATTTGTTGGATGTTACTCGAGCGCTGCAACATACAGGAGGCAAAGCAGCTGCAAGTGACATCCAGAGCACGCCTGCCCTGGGCTGCGCGAGGATGTGCTTCCTGCAACGGCGGCCGCCAGCGCTCGAGGGGGCTCCCTGGCCGCAGGGCGGACTGCCGCAGCTGACCACTGGCCGTTCGCCGCTGCGCCCGTGCGCTCGGCACGCGGCCTCCCCGCAGCCTGCGAGGCCTCAGGCGCTGCGGAGAGGACGCGAATCAATCTATTGCAGCATGCGGCAATATCTCGAGGTCCTGCTACCTAGCGCCTCCGCCAGTCCCAACTCACTCGCACACGGGCGAAACCCAGCGCCATGCGCAGTGGTCGTGGTTCCCTGCCACGGCGTTCCTCAGGGGGACGCGAATCCTCTGCAGGCCTCCCGAACGGGGTCCGAGTACGGTGCAGTCAACCAGGATAGTCAGGATGCGCGGTAAGGATGCAAGGGCCTTGGAACGCCATGTTGACGTTTTCCGTGCGGAGCGCAGCAGAATGCCGAAGGATGCCGAATACCGACGGGGCAAGGATGCAAGGGTAGCCTTGGAAAGTTACCCCATCCTTACTATCATGGTTGACGGTATGGGCCCGACCACAAGAAACCTCCCACAAGAGACCCAGCCCTGAGACCCCTCTCCCGCCTGTGCTGCGCTCCGCGCCGCCCGCGTCGCTCCTCTGCGCCCACGGTGCGCCGCCCGCCCGCCGCCGCTGCCGGCCACTCGGCGCAGGAACGTGATCTGCGGAGAAAGGTTGCAGCAGTTGCTCGACCACAAGAAACCTTCCACAAGAGACCCAACGCTGAGACCCCAGGACGTCCATCGATTTTTGGTATGGGAGCGTCACGCTTTCCATCGCAGAACCATCGAAACCCAAGAAAACACGGGGCACCCTTGGAGGCAAGCATGGTGTATCTTGGCATGGGCCTCCACTGTAGATGGGGGCGGAGGATCGCGACGCATCGTCGATGAATCCGACGTGGTGGCGTGGCCTCTCGCTGGGCGTGGGGCAAACGCGCCCCGAGTGTCGGCCGCCGCGCGTGCCCTTCCCCCTCTCCTGCAAGACAGGCGCCCGGGGAGCCCCGAGGCGTCGGCCGGGGCCACCGACCGCCAACGCGCACAGGCCGTGCCGACTCTGGGAGCCCGCTCTTGAACGGGCCCTGGGACGCACAGGTGAACAGACACAGATAACAGGATTCCCCATATTTTCGTATAGTCTCTGGGTCTTTGTCTCCCCCTCCATCTCCCACATTTCCTCATATTTTCTAGGGAATCGACGATTCCTTGTGCCTGTGGGTCTTTTCCCTTCCTGGGCTCTGCGCGGGCGGGGGACCAGGAAGAGGCAGACAGCTGACCGGACGGTCCGACAGAGAACGAGGCAGGCAGGCTCAGGCACGGCAGAGAGAGAGAGAGCGAGACAACTACGGGGAGGTTTTCGATGAAGGAGACAACTACTGGCACGGCGGTGGAGAACGGAGGCAACTACTGGGAGGATTCTCGTCGGAAAGATGAAGGAGGATTAAGCCCCGTTTGGGAGCTGTTGCGCCGGAGTGGGCCTCGGATTAAGCGGGATTAAACAGGATGAAACTGGATTGAGCGGAAGTAAGCGGGATTAAGCTGGATTAAGCCAGACTTCGGACCAGGGCAAAATCAGAATTTGACATCCCAGGAGTTGCATCCGAAGAATATATATATATATATATATATATATATATTATATATATATGTACTAGAACCATCGCGCGCGCTTCGCGCGCGCTCAAGTTCTAGCTAGGCTTGAAGGGCTAACTCATGTAATATACAGTAGGTCGCTTCTTGCGTCCAGGGATTCCCTTGGAGGCCCTGCGCAAGCCTCGGAATCGCATAGAAGGGGAAGTGCGGAAACGCAGAAATCATTCATTTCCTTTAAGGTATTCAACGATTTGGGGCCTTCAAAGGCTTCCTGGGTTCTTTTGTGGGAGGTGAGGGGGGTGGTCTGAATTGTGGTCTGTTGTGCAAGAGTAGATCGGGAGCCAAACTTGGACAACCAAAATTATGGGACTTCTATGTTTTTCCAATTCCATGTTTTTCCAATTCCTCGGCACTGTTCGGCGCTGTCTTTTGTTTGTGCCTCGCGGGTTTTGTTAGCCGGGCCCCTCAGGGGTGTGGGATCTTCCGGATTCCCTGGGGGTTCTGGAGGCCTCCTGGAGGCCTGGAGAGCCGTCGGAAGGGTGTCTCGGGCTGCGCGGGAACGTGTCAGGCCGTTCTTTACGTTCTGGGGGCTCCTTGGGGTCGTCTTGGGCTGTCCTTGGGCGTCTTGGGGCCCCTCCGGGAACCTGGGAGGCGCGGTACCGGCCAGATGTCAGGGGATGTGTGGGATCTCCGAGTAGGAATCCACTTTCAAACAAAAAACAATTCTGGGAATTCCCTTTTTTTCCAAATCCTCGATCTTCGAGGGTTGGAAGAGGGAAAACGTGAGAAGGCGAAAAACATTGAAAAAACAATTGGAAATCGACGATTTTACCCTCTCTTTTTTTGTTCCGCGCTGGCGAGGGGCTGCGAGCCTGGTCTTTGGTATCTTTTAAGCAGCCTCGCCGCTGGCGCGCAGGCTCACTGGCCGAGAAGCCGACTGTACCTCGCGCTTCCGATGCGACACCCGGTAGGTCTGCTCAGAAACAGCAAAATCGCGTGATGCACAAATCACCCTGTGCAGCGGCGTGCACGGTGGACCCCAAGCATTGGCCAGCGTGGATCCAGTGTTCCCTGCCCGTACCGTGGGCTGGCTGATACATCCAATGACCACGACCGCCAGAGACGAGGGCGGTGGGAATATACATCCTAGTGCA